ACTAATAAACTGTATATTTCGTGATTGAGATCATGAATCGATCAATGTTAGATCAACATTGAAAACCTGGAAACAGTGGAGGGCTATTCTCCCTTAGTATGGGACTGCTCTACAGTGTGCATCCATGATCTCGCATGCAGGACTCGAACCCAGGACCTTCGATCTCGCACGCCGACGCTTAATATCTAGACACTTGAATCGGTCTCCAGCGGTGTCAATGTCTAACTTCAACAAATCCCGTGTGCAGGGTTACCGATGTGCACTGTTGAGGAGTCCCATACTAAGAGGAAACGGCCGTCCAGCGCTTCTAGTTTATCATTGGTGGTTTAACATCGATCGATTCATAATTTTATACTCTATTCGAATTTAGGTAGATTATAAAGTAACAAACAAGTGTATAGATGGTTTCAGCAGAAAATTCTATGTTTCTATCATAATTTTTCCAACTTCATGTTCCGGATCCAAGTATTATTATAAAAGTCTGTTAGTTTAATTTGACACTATAAGAAATGTGATATACATCTATGTATGATCTAAAAAAAAAGCAGATACAACTTAACCTGATCATTATAAAGATCTTATTGATCAATTTGGTATTTATATCCTGGAATGGGATTAAGCAAGTGATAGAAAATAACATCAGTCACTGAAATAATGAACTGACCTGTAATCTATGACATCTTTTCCATATAACGATCCTTGACAGAAACTAATGAAACATACGCCTACCTAATTCTCATTAGAAATTACTGTTAAACATAATGTTTATATTATAATTAGTGAACATGAGTATGAAAACACACTTGACTGTAGGAATAAAATGCATGAGTCTATTCAGTATTCTAAGTAGGCTAGTGGCTTGAGTTTATTCATGTGTGAAACAATGTCTATAATATATTCTCTATGTAAAATTTGATGATATTCTACAACTACATTTCATGAGTTAAAGGGTAACTTGAAACCTATTAAACTGAATAATTTCTAAACCATATTCATGATATTATCACTTCTGTAATAAACAGGATATCATTTGAATCATCAGCCAGAGTAGTACCTGAATTTTCAGTTCAGTGAACATCATCTTTTCTCAATTAGTATACTCTCAGAATTTCGCAAAGCATAAAGTCATTTTGAAAATAAATGGGGAATACTGCTATTGTGGATTTGACTAGACTTCTGTTTGTATTAGTATTTAAAAAGAAAGTTGAAGAAACTTTGACATATGTGTCCATATCGCTTTCTTTAAATATATTCTGTGATGGAGCTGAATTCTAAAATATCTGTAAACTATGTTAACTGGACTGTAATTTAATTTCAGAAAAACAAGTGTTCATGAACTACTTCGGAGGGACTTGTAGAGATTGTTAAATTTCACATTTCAACCAAGAAGTACTAAATAACTGTTTCATCCACGTATGGGATTCTTGTGCAATGTGCATTCATGACTCCGACGGTAATCAAGCCCAGGAACTTTGACCTCTCAGAGAGCGCTTAGCCTATAAACCACTGAGTCACTATCCAATGGTGTACATGTTTAGCTTCAACTAATGGGCAATATTCATAGCCATCTTCTAATCCCATCGGTAGGATATGATTGAGCTGCATTAGTAATGACTTCTCATCAGAAATACAAGAATTACTTCCACAAGTTATTCACGAGCGAGTACATAATGTTTACTATTGTAGAGTAATTTGTAAGGATTGTTATATTTTATTGTTTACACTACAGATTAATCTCAGTCAAGTGAAGGGAATACATTTAGTAAAATATTTAAGTGACTCAAAAGTACCGCTATGATTATTTATATACAATAACTTATGAAATCAAGTGTTCATTTAGTTAATTTAGCTTATAATGGAAGCCGCACTGTAATCTACATAAAAAGTAACTACATTTTCCTTATCATAATTACGATATACTGTTTTGCTTTCCGAAATTGAAAAACCAGAAACAACTTGTATAGTTTAGACAATTGTGAATAGTACTCGATTACTTGTGTAGAGCACTGAGGTAATTATAAACGGCTTACATTGACTTTTGTTTACTGATTTGCTAATATTCAAAAATAAGACTTTTCATTACACTGAATTCTGGAAGTACATATTTCATACAAACAGTTCACTAGACTGTTTTGAAAAATTTAATCATTTTTCACATGGTATTTGGTAGGAATAAATAAAAATTTAGGACCACTGAGTACTCTCACAATCCCCATACTGACAATTATTATGTGCTCACTAGTGACTAGCTTCCACATGAAATTCCTGGAGTTCAACGCGAACTCTTGATTAGTTGAACTAAACCGTGTTAAGTGTGAAGTACACATTGGAAACAATGGAAGACTGTTGTATAATATTGTGGATTGTTTCAAACTAGACTTGTACACCACTGGATGTCGACTCAGTTGTTTGGAGGTTAATTTACAAACAGAAATATATAAAACGGAGTTCAAAAAGTTCTCATACTGTTCAATATGACGATGTTTCATATTATGTTAACTAGTCAGAGAACAGTGTTGCTATTTGTTTTCTTTCAGAGTAAAATATATTTATAGGCAATTGATGATTTGATTATACATTGAGAAAACCAGACAGCGATTGCATCCAGTTTTAATGGCTCACAAGCCCTCTAGAGAAATGTAGACAATAAATCGAATTCCACTCACTCTCCCATTTGTTTAAGGATGTTACCTCCTCCATACCAAAGGAGTCATAATAATTCAATTAAACAGACTTAGCCTTTGCAATCAGGAATGATTTGTACGACATTTCTCTCGATTTTTAACCACCTAACTAGTTTTGTTATGTAATTATGATTATTAACCAACAGACTGTTGGTCGATTAATTACACTAATTTTTTCCTCCTTGATGTTACACAATCATTTAGAGTAAACAATAAATTTTTTCAAGTTGAAGCTTGTCTTTTTTCATTTCTAACCAATGAGACGAATCGCCGGACACGGATTGATAATTGGGTATAAAAAGTACAATAAATCGTAGTTCTGAAAATTTTTACAAGCAGTAGGCATGATATACTTTATACGTGAATCCAAGAGACAGTAAAAGCAAACACTAGTTAGCGTTGGTCGTAGCTCAACGAATTAACCGCACAAAAGTGGGTTAGAGTGCTATAATAAGAACAGAACTGACTGGAGAGGATTTAATTTATAGAGAAGTTGTACATAATACTGACTGGACAACGCCAAGAACATTAAACTTCTATCAAAATTTTGGAGATCAGAGATTAGATCAACATTGGTTGTTGTTCACAAATCAAAAGTATAAACGGGCAGAAACTACTGGAAAAAATCACGATTTGATCTTTAAAAGATTACTCGTCATTTACTCTTACAATTTGTCAATTCTTGCATATTACCTATTATTCTTTACTGTTCTCCATTATTCTTTCCCGGGATTTTGAGGAAAGACTTTCCTGTATTGCGAAGAGTGCTGAAGGCAGTTGGCAAGATGTGTGGTGAATCTTTTGAGGTCATAATTACTATGGTTACGGATAAACATCTAACTTCTTGCAAACTCCTAACAGGTGTTATCTTATCAGATACTAACCATCCCCTTCACTCATATCTTTCTCCTTGTATATCTTTTGGTAGAATGAGACGTAATTACATTAAATCCCATGCATGCAAGCAAAAGTATAATAGTTCTATAATACCTTACCTAGCAAATATACTCTGTGACGAACAGGTTGTTAGAGTTAACCTAGTCAATAACTTGCATTCTTAACATGCCCTTAATTCTAAAAGTCGTACAGTTTTTCGTTTTTTTTTCTTTTTTAAAAAAAAACTTTTTTTCATTTTTTTGTATTCGTTACTGTGTTTTTTTGTTGTTGCGTAACTTGTTGAAATAACCTGTGCTGAGAATTCTATATTGTACCAAAACTATAATATTGAATAAAGCCATTAATAATAATAATAATGAAATGGAGTGTTATTGACCGAAAGAGGAAACGAACAGTTGTCATAATAACCAACCAAATATTAGATTATAATATCTTTTTAGCCACAGAATGCGTACATGATGACACATTCAGTATGAAACAATCAATTCATAGTCACGTAATAAAAACGTAGCACAAAATTCAATAGATAAATTTTTTCGAACGTAATGTTAATCAACGGAGATGACTTCAAATAATGTATGTTGACTACTGACCAGCTAACGTTCTGGTGATAGACCACAACCAGTCAATTCAATCAAGTTGGTGAACATGGTAGTCATTTATTAACGAGAACAGATGAGGGTCGTGCTATTGGAATTGACTGAAAGTTGAGCATTTATACCATTGAGTATCTATTGAATGGTGTCTTGTTTGGATCTGAACCATACAGAGGAGTAAGTCGCTGAGGATTTCTAAACTACGATGAAGTAGTTCTCTTCAGTACTTCTTGGTTTTCAATAGTTACTTTAAGCACAATGTGTCGTAAGAAATCTCTACAAAACTAAGTACAATCAAGATATTTAGATTACATTCTGCAAGGGAGAGGAAGGATGCGATAACTTTTTGCAATCCATATTTCCTTATTGACCTTTGTCATTATCTGATTGTTTTTTACCGTTCCTAGTTTCCTGTCACTGTAATTTCTCATAGTCATATAAACAGTTGTTCTATTATTATTTTGACATCGATTTCTCTCTTTAATTGTCTAGTGGAATTATTTTTGACGTGTTATGTACTAGTCGTTCAGTTTATCTAGTCTACATACATCTTATTTCGTATTAGAAGCATCTACCTCAAAATAATTCCCAATTCAGATTTATTGTAAGCTAACTAATTGATATGAAGGGTATTCATGGAAGGAAGGCAATATGTTTTCACTTGTACCAATCTTTGTATTCTTACTTTGCGTTGTGAAAATTGTAGTCGTTTCTCGCTTTCCAATACAAGTAATTGGCAATGCGTATATAACACTAACAAATTAGAACACATAACCAATCAAAACTTATTTTTTAAATTATAGTACATAACTGAAAAGTCCAACTGATTAATAATTCATTTATTAAATGCATAGGAAAGAAAGTAGAATTTTTCTTTACAAAAGAAACAACTAATTATTATACAAATCATAATACAATACAAATTTATTCAAAAGAAAAATTATAGAGAAAAACCTTGTGACTGTACATACATTAAAGGTTGATAAGAAATCTTATTTTTAAAAAAAAACGGATTAAAAAAACCAATAAAAGAAAAATAAACTTCATCAAAAACAAACAAGCAAACAAACAAAAAAATCTTTCATTTACAACAAATTTTTACCCATACAATGCTTGTTGTGATCCAACACCAGCTCCATTGTTAACACTTCCTCCTATACCGAATCCAGTCATCACATTGGAATTATTCAATGAAGTAGAATCAGCTGAACTGATTGGATATGATGCAGCTACAGTTTGTGTAATAAGTAGAACAAGTTGAACTAATGCTGAATCATTACTACTGGTTGCCATAGCATTTGCTTTCGATTCTACATCAGTATCATGTAATAATCTTAAAAGATTTAAACCAATTGCATCTGATTGATTTCTATTATTTGTCATTATATTTTGTGATTGATTAATAGTTGGATAGATAACAACATGATTTACATCCCAATCATAACCAACAACAACTAATTGGGCTAATGGGATAAGATTTTTAGACTAAAAATAACAAGAAAGAATAAACAAATGTGAATGAATATTATTCTTTATTCAGTATATCTTGAATCTGATCTCTAATTATTTCAACAAATGATTTAAAATAAAAGAATAATAAAGTGTAAATCATCAAAGGACAAGTACATATTTGTTTATATGTGAGGAGGCTACTGATAATATCTGGTTGTATAAACCAAATTAGATGATGAGGAATTTGGACATGTAACCTACTAGTTGAAAGTAGAATGTCTTAACTATGTAAATCTGATATCCTTCTTCATGAAGTAAAACACAGAATAAAAGGTCTATCATTAAACATATAGCTACTTAGATAATTTACCAGAAGAAAACATGAAATAAACACTATAGCAGTTAGTTGAACAGCTTTTATTTGTTCATTTATAAAAGAATACTGTTAGAAAGCATTCTTTTTTTCTATAGAGCACAAAATATGTGTGTGGAATGGTCTAAGAGCATAGTGGAACTGTTCAAATTTTTGTTAATTACTCTAACGTCTCACAAATGATAACGACAACCGATTCACTTCTTGAGAACTCAATTTTCTGCATGACCTTTGCTCTTTCCTGATTGGTATTTTGTGTACCTCTTGAAGTTTACTTTTTGTTACTGCAAAGACAAAATTGTTATATTACGAATTGTTTTATTTGAATAACAAGTATTTCCTATACTTCATTTTCTTGTGTTAGAGACTAATTGATGAAGTGTTGTTTTGTGCTAGCTCCCGTTAACCAATCCACAGGAGAGCCATTCATAATAGAATAGCTCATTCGTATCCGATTTCGCATGTATCGTAGGTCAACCAGAAACCTCAATTCGTAGTCATATTCAGAAGCCTATATAACAGCAATAGGTTTTGACAAAAATTCATTTAAAAAACGGCGACTATACGTAAAAAGGCGAAAATGAAATATCGAACTGTCGACCAGAAAAATGAAAATTATGGTTGACATTAAACATAACCCCTTTACATATTTCAGCTTCGAAAATGACGATGATATCGTAAAGATGGTTCGCAGCAGGCCAACCAAAAAATGATAATTTAACCCATTGATGTACTGCTGTAATCAAATTACTGAATAGATCAACGATTATTTGTCCTGGTAAAATAAAATTGACTAATTTTGAAAAAAAGAAAATTCAGAGCACTAACCCACTTACTCTCAAAATACATATATTTGATTTCAAATTACATGATTAGTATCTTTGATTAAATAATAAGAACAACAAAAAGCTTACCAAATGTCGTGAATGTGAACGCATTATTAACAGTTGCAATGTGATTTTCGATGGACGAACAATGATACCAGGCATACCAGGCTGTAAGTCAGAACCAGTGTCAAATGTGAGTAGATTTTGTGCAGCCCCGGTGGCTGCTGTGTTTGTTGGTTGATTTGTTAATGAACTACTGCTACTGATAGCAGTAACACGTGAATTAACACCCATCCCAATTAAACCTATACGTACATAAACAGGAGCTTGAGCAGGTGAATGTAAATCAAACGCTAGAACACGACCCATTGCACGTAACGCATGCGGAGGTAGTAACAATAATCGGAAAAACGCAGTCACAGCACTTGGTTGAAATGGGAAGGAACAAACCTGAAGTATAACACAAAAAAAGGAAAACAAAATGCTTTGTTAATACCAGGAAATTTTGTAGTTCACTTTAAGAACTGATTGTAGTTAGACGACGAATCAGAGAACTAGAAAGCATTAAACAACTGTTTCGTTATATTATAGGCTTTTTCAGTGGTATACATCTGCAAACCTAATGGAGATCGAACTCAGAACTCTCAGATCTCATAGCAACTACTTAACCATTGAACTAATCAACTGGGATTCCACGACTTACATTTTTAATTCGCTGTTCAGGAGTATCATACTAGGAAAAAACTATCACCCAATGCTTCCTGGTTTTCGATGGTTGTTTAATCAAGGTTAGTTTATGGTCTGAACGATAAGAAGGGATTGTTCACGCTCGTGGTAAGGGTAATATAATTGTATTATTCAGTCCTGCCAGTTGGTCACATAGACCATGGAGCTTGTTTTTATTTCATACATGACTAGTTTTGACGCTAAGAATGGCGTAATATACCTTACCTCATGAATTTCAGTCTCCAATGTTAAACCCTTAAACATACGGAGCTAACTTACCTAACACTACCCCCAGTGAGACAAAAAGTGACCAGCTTTAAGTAGCTGATCCCTGGACTTTTAGATCACACTAATTGATTACAAGAACCTCTAATACTAGTCCATTTTCTTTTTCAGGTCTTTTAAAGAACTGTCTTTCCATGGTATTGATAACCTCGGGAACTGACAACCACTCTTATACTTTTAATAGCATGTGATACCGACAAAGTCACTAGTCTAAGTAACTCCATATGAAATTGATTAGGATGGAAGGTATGCATGGAACCAAAATTCAAGGTTTTCAGCTTGAGTAGCGTAGTCACCAAACGCCGAATACGTTTCGTCGCATCTCCCACTGTTCGAAACATTCCTGAAAGTTCTCAAAATGAGTGATCTTCGCCTTTAACACCAAAGTGCTTTGACAAAATCGTGTCCGCAGAAGACTACCGCAACATAAGTTCATCAGTAATTATTCAGACAATAAATCGCCAATCAGAAAGCATAAAATATTACATATGTTCACTGTTTTCCACCAAAATAGGTCGATGATCAGCCCAAATTGATTGAAGTATTAATCACTTTCACTGAAACTGTTAAGCTATTTACAAAACAGACATTCAATTCATATATAATCATAAAAATTCTGGAAGTTCCTAGTGGATTACTCATTCAACGTCCTAAGTAGAGAGATGCACCCTCATTTACTGAATAGATCAAGTTCAGAAGTAATGCAACTGATTTCAAATCCCCCACAAACAACAATATGAAATCATATGTCATATGTATGTATGTATTCGAGCATAACTTACTCTTTTCTCAAAAAACTCCTCAAAAACATTCAGTGTTTCAGGTGGCCAACGATCACATGAGTTGACACTTTGACTAAGTTGAAGTTTGAGCCTCCACCAGAAAGATTCAATTCCGTTGTTTGTAGTTGGTTGACATAACATTGACAATTGGACAGTTAATTGACTCACTGGCCAAATACATATAAACACCGCATTTTCAAGTAGATCATGTTGATTTTTGATTCGTTGTTGTTCATCTGTTTGTTGTTGTTGTAGATCGTAGGGGATTTCATTATGAACATGATGAATTGGTACATCTAAACTTTGTATAGCTAAAATTGCAGCATGAAATAATAAACTTGTTGATAAATAAGATTCAAGTAACGTTGGACCGGGATCAGTACGACGATAATTTGTTAGAGAAAATGTTTTCGATGACATTATGCTTGATTTAAATTTGTCAAAGGTTAATCTTGTTAGTTGAGCAAACTGAGTAAGTGTTAAGCTGGTCAATTTTTCTATAAAATAGGAAAATAAAAATAAAAATTAATTATGATAATAATGTTGAAGATTGTAGTAATTTAAGGGGATAGAAAATATTTACAGCGTAGGATAAGGAATTTCAAGGTGTTGTATGATCACTGACCTAGACAGTTTAATTGTAAAGTATTCCATTGCCTTTCGAAACAATATGATCAGTAAGTACTTCACAAAAAGAATTGACTGATTTTGTGCCAAATCTGTGATTTCTGATAATTAAAACAGATATGTAAATGGGAGCAACACAACTGTGAACAACAACTAAGTAGAACAAGCTGTCAGTCAATTATGGAGAGATTCAAATAATTCCTCTTCATTTTGTAAAGCACTTGATGATCTTGTTCAGGAAAACAACGCAAAGTAGTGGTTGGAGGTAGTCGACAGGGAATCCTGGACCAAGGTTTTGTGTCATTCGGCACTCGTCGGCGAGGTGTGCATGTAATTTTGAGAGCTGAGGTTCGGTGGCAGACTCAACCTTGATCACTGCTCAGTGATCAATTAATTGTAGACATATTTTTCCTACAGTTGGCCAGTTGCGAAACGGATAACTCAGTGGTAACGTCTCCAACTGTGAAGATGGGTGGTACGGGACCAAATCCACCAAGAAGCATCACTTGCCTCAAGATTACAAGTACACATTCTTGATGGGTAATAAACAGCACGAAACCTAGGGCAAAGATTTCGGGTAAACTGCATCCAACCACCACCTTACATTACAATATACTGCATGCGATGTCAAGTCACCTATACTAGTATATACACTGTAACCTGATCGATAGAATTTAATCGACACCAAGAAGGACTTGAATTACATGACATTTAACACTATCCAATGATCAATCAGTCGTAAAAGGCAATGAAAGCTTTGTAAATAAACTATTCAGATCACAGAACACACGACACCTCTAAACAGTGAAAAATAAATCTACTCCCCAATCAATCAATTGTATTTAGGAAGTTAGTGGTGATTTTCTCTAAGTAATCCGATAAGTTTTCGTTAGATAAGAAAATCTTACCAGCAATTCGAATTACTTTCTTATGCAAACAATGTTCATGAAAATATCAGATTTACAATGGAATATAAACACACCAATCATTTTAGCTTTCAAGACTAATATATTAGACAAAGAAATGATGGAACCAATTGACAAAACTATATACAATAAAGAAACTATGATTAATTTCGCTATGAATAGGTCAATCACTGAAGAATAGCGTAATATTCATCAATCTTATCAATCAACATGTAATGTAACCATTAGTTTAGATGCTCTGAAATCTCATGGATTATTTTGAAATATTAGTTGTTGGAAGAAGTCAATTAGAAAGGAAGGCGAGACTATAATTTATGGACGAACCAATCAGACTTAGGATAGTAGGTCTTGGATTTTGGCGCGAAATTCATTCACCCATTTGTCCAAATAGCGTCTTGGCATTTTAGCTGATGTCAGTTCGTGATGAAAACCATAAATCTAAATCCTCACCCTTAACACCAACTATTCATTTAATCATTAGTCATTTAAAACACACAAAAATAACCAACTATTTGAATGATATCGAAATAAGTACAGTAAACTATTGAGTTAATTATTCATTTTTACTATGTTGCTTAGAAAATAGCTAAGAAATTCATGATCTCCAGCTATTATTGTTTACTGTTAAATTTCATTTTAAAAGAATCTAAGCAAATTATATGTGAACGGACTGATTGTTGTTCACTTCCAAATGAAGAAATCGAAACAGTTACTACTTATCCATATGTTGCACTAAGGATATACAATTTCAAATTTCAATAACAACAACTTATATTGTTGTCAGTTAGGGGTTGTAGAGATTATTGAATTTGATTGAATATAGGAATCAGTGGTCTAGAAGTTAAGAGTCTGATTCCCGGGAGCGAGGTCCCAGACGCGGACTGCTTAATTGTGCCATAATAGGACGAAACAGCCATTTAGGGCTTTCAGATTTTTAATCGTTCTAACTTAGAATGGTTCGTGATTTCGATGACATTTACATTGTCGTCAAATTAACAAAGTTCTTATAAGCAGCACGTTGAAATCAATTACAGATAACAGGTGTTCGCGTGAAAATCACAGATATACTGTGCATACAATTTTATTGTGAATAAGTACCTATAGTGTATCAAGTAACTATTTAGGAGACAATAAATGAAAAATTGTCAAAGCGATCTTAGGTTTGATCCTCATCGAGCTTATAAGTGTGTACTGCTTCGAAGAGTCCCATACTACGGCAAACGACTGTCCAGTGTGATTTCGGGCTTGTTAATAGTTGTCTAATTAGGATCAGTTTGTGATATAAACCATATAACAATTCCCCCCACATACACACACACCTCTATGAATAATTTTTAAGATTTCCCTGAATTATTTAACAATTAATATAAGTATAAATATTAATAATAATGATAATAGTGTAATAGCTTACCATCTGAGTTTATGCAAAATAATTCTTGCAAGGATTTTAGGAATTTCTATACAAAATTTAAGAAAATAAAAAGCAACGTAGTAAGATTAGAAAAAAAGTACTTGTGAAAAAAATTATCGGTCACAGAAATATTTACCAATTAGATTATAACCAAAAAACAAAAAGCAACAAACAGAAAAGTCTTTCAGGAAAACAAACGACACATATGTTGAATGGTTACATTGTTAAACTTTTGACCGCCAAAACTTAATGTTTGAACTGCTCTCTACCTACTACAATTTGGACAACCAGATAGTACTATTAGGCCTAACATTTGAAGTATGGTTCATAAACAATTAGTTGGTGAGTGGGTCCATTTAAATTTAAAAATTGAATGTTTATGTCACCACCAGTCAGTTGTCACAATCCTTAAAGAGCCTGGAAGAAACGTACTTTATTCCAAGTCTTCATGTTACATGAACATGACAAAAATAGATGATTGGTCAAATAATTAAAATAACAGTAGTATTTATGATCGTGAAAGACTAAACATTTGAGAAAACATTTCGGGAAGAAGGGCTGAATTATTTATTTCAACACATTATTATTAGTACAAATGGGCATTTTAAAAAAATATGCTCCATACAATAAGCAGATGAGATTGTAAAGAGATGGAGGAAAGAGTATGAGTATAATCTAAAACAATAGAGGAATAAAAATAAGTGAACGAAAGTAGTAAATAGTAAGAGAAACAGTTCAGTTAAGTAAAATACAACCAAAAAGAATCCTTTCAGCTTTAACTGAAGAAGGTAAAGGAAACTTATAGCAGGATCGTCACTGGCTTTTGTTCTGAACGATATTTGATAACGTTTCAAGCCTCTGAGTTGTACTATGTCTAGGATCCCAGTCAGGGGAGTCGTGAAGGACCGGAAGATGTCAATCTTGTACAGCTTTTTTTCATACCCCGGCACCTTGTCATAAACAGACCATCTTTCTGCTTTTTACAACCAGTCCCAGAGTCCGCATATAATGCAAGATGTGGAATTCGCTAGGAAAACAATCGTAGTACATATCCAAACAACCGGAGTCAGTGTTTCGAGATAGTGACACCAGTCGAATTATTCTCATTCTGCCCGAAAACATGTTTGTGAACCTCCACATTACTAACATGGTGTTGATATTATTTGTTAGCAAAAGATGACGCAGATTGGCAAAAGCCTCTTTGAATTCCAATATACGTAAATGAATGTTTATACACCTAACTTTGTTGTTCTACTAAATTTTACAGTAGTTGTTACTTAACTTGAACATCCATAGTTATTTATTATAGATCAATAAAATTCCTATAATTATTTCTAGGTTGCAAGCAGGCGATGAGAACCACATGAAATAAATGAATTTATCTTATTCTACTACACTCGTCGTGTTTGTTTTATACACCAACAACAGAAACACACACACAACTAATAATAAACACAAACCTACCGAGAAAGCAGGTAATGGAGCTAAGTTGCATAAAGCTTTGTCATCTAACATCTGATTATTCCATCCATTTGTATTGAAAATAGGTGGATAGGGCTTTTTCCCTGTTGTTAATTGATTATAGGCATCAAGTAATTGAATAGATTTAGTTGTTTTTAATGCATCATTATTATTGTTAGATAATGACATTGCAGACGATACAATTGAATGTTCAATAGTATTTAGTGTAATTCGTAGGCTTAGTGATGCACGATATATTAGAATAAGATCACTAGGGGATAAAGCGATCAGTAGCATACCACATACAGGTTGTATACAATGAATATGCGAAGAAACCTAAACCAATAAGAACACTTCATTGAGAAAGGAAGATAGAACTAAAAAAATACATACCCATAGTCATTAAAATTTAAAAAAGACTACACAATGGCTTTCTTATTAATGGGGCATTTAGTCAGTCAATCAGTCAAGAATGACGTAGAACGCGGAATATATTTTTATCGGATCAACATGACATATCATATCAGCAAATTTAAGTGAATGTATCATGAAAAATCTCAGAGTAGCACGAGTTGTAACATTATTGCTGAGAGTGGAAAAGATAAGGCATAGACAGTATGATTCGAGAAAAAGGAATGAATTCCCAAATTAAGACAGTTGAAATAATTTTGAAACTCAGGTTTGAAAGGAAAATAAAGAGTGAATGCATTTGCACCATTGTGACTGATTAACCGCCATGATACTCAACCGTTCCAGCAATTTTTGTTACAAGCATACTTTCTACTCATCTATATGGGTTAATTCAACTTCATGAGCTGATGCAATGTCTTGGATTTGACAGCCTCGATATTTCTACTCAGTAAGCCTATACTGTCTTATTTAGTGTTGATATTCAGTTGACTAGTTCCAATACTCTTTTAATTTACATAGATTAATCTACGAAACTAATGAGCCATATAAGGATGTGTGAATTCCATGGTTGTGGTCTATAGAATGATTATAATTTACAGTTGCAGATCTTAAGATATACATAACTTAGAAGTGATTGCAGTAGAGCGAAATCATTTATCTTGTTCTAAATTTTAAGTTAGAATAATAATCTATACTTTGTGAGATAAAATAAAGAGTATTTTACTAAAATAAATTCCATGAAAGGAAATATATAGTGATAGTACACAGTAATTAACACTTGTATACTAAAAATTCTCTACTGATTAAAGAAAATATTGATTTCATTTAAAAATTATTACCTTAAGACCATTATAAGACAAAACTTGATCTCGGAGCGGTTCCACACATCGAAAGAATTCCAATGTATTCAACATTGTCTATAAACAATGTAAAAAAAGCCATAGTCATCAAAAAAGATGTTGAAACATTAGGATTTTTGAAACAAATCAACTACATAACCGTATAGTGAAAAAAATTCTAAGAAATTTGGATAAATACTACTGTAGCGGTATTATGATCAACAACGTTGCACCAAATTGTTAAGACACGGGTAAAGATTCAACAAAAAAAACCCGGTATATACTGCAGTTTTCATATATTTTTCGATTAATAAAACCGCCTATGATACTACACTCGAGATCAGTTTTTCAATTATGATTACTGGACAATTTATGTTTTAAAGTAAAAAGTATTTGGAACGTTTGGAAATAGTATTCATTTTAAGAAATGAAATAATTTAAAAATATGGGAACAACTTATGCCATAATTGAAAGAAACATCTTTTCAACTGTAAACTGGAATTCATTTACAAATAATTTGATCAAAAGCACATTTCGTGTCATTTGTTGTTGATTTGATGTGTGTTATCGACTAGTAAAATAATTTTTACAAGATTTGTCTAAAGTTTATATACTTTCAAGATCTGTTCTTTACTTTCCTTTTCTGTATTACATTATCTGCTATTTTCTACGACAAAAAAATACATTCGTTAAGTGTGTGGGGAGCTTTATTGTATGTACACCAGTCTTTTTTACTTTAAATTTCTTTGAAATGAATAGATTCTTGTCATAAATTGAACAATGGTCAATTTTTATAGATTTGACTAGCAAAACTTTTAGTATACTGAAGATTGTGCACTAAAAACTTTCTTTAGGTTTCTCACTTAATCATCATTTACGTTCACATACTTTGTTAATATAGCAAAAAGGTTTTCTGTTCAACTATTTTTAATAGGAAGAAAATACGTGTCTGTTTTAGAATAAACAGACACTTAACTTTGATTAAGTTTAAATTCTGATATATTAAATACTATCCTATATTGTTTCCCATTACGGTTCCTTGGACTTTTGAAGAAAATAAACATTACCCCTTATTAGGTAAAGTTATGATTATTAGTCAAGTTAAATGGTGAATTCGTTGAAGTATGATGAAAATCATCGATAACAAACATTTGAAATTGTACAAACCATCGGTAAACGTTATTTTATCAAATACAAACCACTAAACGTATTCGCATTTTATACCTTGTGAATTGTTTAACGAAACGAGATCCCAACACTTAATGTAACAAAAGAGAAATAATAACAACTCCACAATACTGTACCTAGCATATATATTATGCGACAAAAATATATTTTAAAGGATGTTCAATGATACAATACATCAATCAGGAACAGGTTTGTAAAATTGGTTATAAGGTATACTCTTTTACATGTTGAACATGATACCTACAGATTATGAATTCAAAACCTCTTAAAGAGGTTGTTTTTTTGGTGTAATTTAAAGTAAGCTATACAAAAGTGAAGCAAATTGACCGAAGTTTGTTTAAGAAAATTACATATTTTATGAAGATACCGAATGTGTTTCCATCTTCAACACACTATATTTACGATCGAAAGAGATTGAAAGAAGAGGCCATTTTTAAGCTTAAACTACGAAGTACGGGAAAATGACTATAAAATCGTAAACAAACAACAATCGATCATAGGAATCAAAATGGCGCTAAAGAGATGCTTCCCTGAAGACTAAGTGTTTTTTGTGTATAACAACAGATGTTCCTTAAATCAATCAAAAGTGTATAAATAACCTTCTGAGGTATCTCCAAATTCATTTACGTATACTTGAGTAAGGAAGAACACATGAAAGACCGAAAGAAGGATATCTACAGAGTATTCCGAATATATTTTCCCTAATTTTCGTCTAAAAGGAAGTGAAGTTTAAGAATTCCGTTTGCAGCTAAGGAGAAACATTGAAATACAATGAATCCATGTTAGTTTGTAGATCATCTTCTTTTCGCTTCATTTTAGTTGATTAAGGAATTAGAGCGTATTAAATAAATCATAATAATAACTCACTGTAGCTAAAAAATATATCGACTTCCTAGCATTTAACAATTCTTCTAAGTGTTGTCTAGCGATCATATGTGGATTGAAATCAACATTTATTGTATTACTCATATTGGTATCGTCATAGTTTAATTCTCTTGTTGTATTATTACTAATACTCAATGATATTGGTCGAAAACCTAAGGACAATGTAAATTTCTGTCCAGTTGGATTAGATATATCAGCCTAAAAAAGAGGAAATAATAATAATGCTAAGTCTATCGAAGCGTTTAATTACATGATTGAGATACATGAGAAACCAAAGTTCATAAAACAGAGATTTTTTATTGAGGAACAGACATAAATTATTTACAAACCTTAACTCGTGAAGTTTCTGTAGCACTTACCGCGTCTGTAAACCTGAAAGAAAAATTGCTTCCTGCTATAATAGTCTAAGTATTAAGTATGACATACGCTAATGCAAATAGCAGCCGATAGATGTGTCTAATCTTGATAACAGTTCATTAAAAAACAAAAAGGAACCAATAGTAAACAAACATGGAAACAGTTGCATTTAAACGAAGATTAAACGACTATGCAAAATTAAGAACAACTGTTACAGGAGTTGAGAGGAAGCAGTCATAATGATAAATGTAATAAATGTTATCAGTATGTGTAAATATTTTAGAATATTACACGAAGAAATTACGTTACAATATTTGCGTAAAAATTGTTAGGAATAAACTATTTACTCAATATTGATAAGTAGTATAAAACAATACACAAAAAAGGATTGATGAGGAAAGAGTAAAGACAGGGAATGTAAACAAACTTAACAAACAGTATGACATGAAAATTCATTTTTGTAATAGACTTTACTGAATTCTGTTTTTTTACTAAAAGACAGAAAATAGTTGAGAAAACTGAAGAACAGAAAAATGTGAAATTATTCAACGCTAAGGACAAAAGTAGTTAAGTGATACACACATATTTCTAACGAATCTCAGAGCATATCATTGGAGTAAAAAGTATCCATTATATGATGCTGGCTTGATGGAGAGGATCGGAGATTCGGTAGAAAGCTCAGAACTAGGGTTTTTTGATTATGTGCAAGAGGTGGACAAAACAAAACATGGAATCAGTCCATGAAGTTAATGCTAACTGAACAGAGCCATGTTAATTAATAGGTTTAAACTACTTGGTCGGTGTCAGTATGACTATCGTAGCCAATGGTTAGAGATTTTGAGTGACATGGCTCAAAATCATATGCCGTAGCGCAGGTTCATCTATTCTTTTTATTCCTAAAGATTCTAAGCCTCTGAATTCTTCATAACTTTTTGTGTTTTTACTTCACAAATTCATATTTCCACCTTGAATCGTATCTTTGATGTTTAGTCTTTTCTGTTACCACGGATACTGTTACTAACTCTATCATTCTGGGATTTTGCGACAATTTCATCTATCTGTGCTAGCGGGGTGAGTATAGCAACTTGGACTGATGTACATACCTATCAGGTTCTATGTTGTAACGGTATAACTGTGTATCAGTTTCCATATTTTATCTTCTTAGTTTCGACTGTAGACAATCACTGTCAACTTTAGACACAGAAAAAAGCTATTATTTGCATTCATACATACGCTGGTGAGTTAAAAGACACAGATAATTCACAAATTAAAGTGTGTAATTAACTTGCACCTTTTGTGGAAATAGAAGCACTTTCTAAACAAAATCTTTTTGTTGAGTTGTGATTTTTCCCACTTAATTCTATCGTGTAATTATATAACGAAGTAGAACCAACAGTAGACATAGAGACTATCACACATACACTGTGCAACATTTATTTTACCAATAGCAATAAATCAAACTTACCAAGTAGTATTTACCATAAATCAATGATAATGTCCTAAGATTGTATGAATAAACTTGTACACCTTTAGGAAGATAAATATCTATGGAAGAAAAGGAAAAAAAACAGTAATTCATTTTAATTCAAAGTAAAATACTATTTACATGATTATTTCTAAAATTATAGAGAAACCCAAAAAATCTTCTAACGGAATTGGAATGCCATACAGTTGAATGTGACAATACTGATGTGAGAAAACGTGAACAATTTCATGAGAATGATTGTGCCAAGCCCATAGCTAAACCATTTGTGTGTCGATGGAAAAAATTGGCGATTATATGTTTATTCATAAGTTTGTTGATAGTAAGTACAACCACATAGATACATAGATTGCCACTGAACAGTGAACTACTATTACTGATTCGTTATCACACGAGTGATGAGGTGATTAAATTCCATTAGAGATCATATTGTGCTCAATATCCTCAATGATATGACAAACTTTGATGTAATAATCTTGATGTGAAAGCTTTGGCAAAAAAAATTATAACGAATTTCAACTCTAATGACTTCAGATATTCCATGTTTGGTCAGAAATGTCTGTCCCCTGTAGATCAATCCAATCATTGAAGAAACTTTAATTAGAGTATTTCGATGTTAGTTACTATTATGCACGACAAAATGGGATAGACTATATTTAGAGGTCTATTAAATGAACATCCAAACAATGGTCTAAGTAATTTTCGTTGTACAATATAAAACAATATTATGGTATTTAGATGACGTACTCCTCTATTTAAAACAAAAAAAATGTATTAGATCATCTCAGTGTTACGACTGATTTCATGAAATTTTCCTAAAGAAGTACAGATATGTAAATGATTAAAAGGTGTAAATAGAAACTGAAATATTAGAAGGGTTTTTGTGTGGATATTATAGTAATTTTGAGATCACGAGTCAATTGAAGCTAGACTACCATGGAAAACCTGGAAGAACTGGAGGGCCGTCCAGTGGTGAAAACCACTCAAGAAAGAGTAAGACAGCAATTAGTAAGTAAAACAATTCACTGAGTGAATTATCAAATGTTATTTCGATCTACGATAATGAATGTATTGTCGATCTAGTGACAGTATAGATCTACTTTACTGATAAACCCATTAAGGGGTCCATTTTCTAACTTTGCTAAGAAGAAATCAGTTAAAATTGGGCCTAGAGATGAGCCCATAGTTATTGTATCAATTTGTCCATAATAAGTATTGTTAGAGTTTGAAGCAAACAGTGTCGAGTTCGAGTCCCGGAGTGAACACCAACTCCGAGATGCAGGAATAGTCAGCTGACGAGTTCCGGAAAGGATGAAACATGCGTTTTGGATTCCACTGCTAACCACCAATCATCTGTGTTTATAATGCTTGTGATCTAAGTCAGTATCGAGGCAATTCATACAGGATGTACATTAGCTAATAAGAGACTGATCAAATGCAGTCCTAAACATCAACGGGAACATTCAAACAACCAAAACAAAAATGAGTCAAATTCCGTTATCTTTATCAAAGCAATTAACTAGACAAATCGAATGAACGTTAACTTGGGAGATAAGCACAAACAACGAAAACAATAAAAATAATCATTAATGTCAAAAAAAATTAGTGAAACAATTTACACGAGAACAGTGCACATAATTATTCAACTAACTATTGCTAATAACTAATTATTCTGTCATTATAATTTATCAATAAGTTTGACATAACGTGTTTAATTCTATCTGTAATGACATAAATATGATACTGGCTGAACGAGTGGCTATATGGACTCAGTAAATAAATTGGTAGGTAAAGTGATGAGTAATTGAAGTGATAGGTATTGGGTTCAGATCCTGAGGTGGACATCAACTCTGAGATCCAGGTACGTACAAACTGACGAGTCTCAAGTAGGACAAAACGCGTATTCTGGAGTCCATTGCTAGCCGCATCTCATTTATTCTACAATAAAGCATCTAGTTGATGTAGACTGTAACTTATTTGTTCAGTTCAAATAATAGAAAAACTCCATCTCTACTCTTGTAGGAAGTCAATATCCCTGGATAGCGTTCATAAGAAACATATAGTCACATACACCAATATAGGTATTAAGAACTAAAATTTGCTACTGTTGATTGTATCGTATGTGCTTAATACAGTATATAATTTAAAAGGGTAATTTGTTCCCAGAATATATAGCTTGATTGTATTATATCATGATAAACAATACACAATGTAGCAGTAAAGGTTAAGTTAAACATAAAATTATCCTTACTGGGATTACTGATAACATGATAACATAAAGCATGCATTGAACACAAATTTTCCCATTCTACCAGTATATTTTGTACGACAATATTGAAATGTTCTAATCTTGCTACAGTCCATTCAGCAGTTTGATGACGCAAATAAGTTGAAGACATTTGATTAATTCCATTTAAAGGAGCTACGATACCAGTAAAGACAATATCTAATTGCCAACTTCGACGATGTGTAAAAGGATCGAAATGTGGTCGGAGTATCATTCCATGAACAAAATCGACTAGAGGAATAATATCTGATGGATGCCAGCTTGGCGGATTGAATGGTATACTGTGCGTATGGAAAGAGAATAGTTAAAAAAATACCAAATGGATACAATGTAATAACATGTATATATATATACATAGTAAAATGGTGGTTTAATTTATCAAGTTACAGCTCAGTATTGCATTTCTAACCACTGTATCGTAGGTGAGAAGCTACTATACACGCTCTAACTACTTTACTTTCCAAATCTACAGGTACTCTACAATTCGCACATACATAATGTCCTGGCATGGACGAGAGTGAGAAGAGTTCGCTCTCCCTTTCGAAATGCTCTCCCATAGCCACTACTAGAGAAGTACTACTCACTGCCTTCTCAAGGTGTGGATGTTGTTTATGAAGTTGAGAAGACGAAAAGGGAATGTCTGGGGTCTAAACTGTGTTGGTGGGTACAAAGGACCCATCCAGGGAGTTAGAAAACCCTGATTCTAAACCAATGGTGCACGTGAGCTCAAGGATTCTGAGGGGACAAGTGGGGCATGAACGTTATTGGTAACAGGTTACCATGAGGCGGCAACTCTTAACGTTGCTCCACTGTCTTGTGGATTAGACATCTGGGTCAAGTGCTCGGGGTGTGGCCCCTAATATAACTACCAAGTTCGGTTTGGGCACCCAGACAGTATCTAAGCTCACACACAAATTCAATGATTCGTGTGGCGCATAAATACTTTGATGTCCCTTTGTACCAATGTTTATATGTTCAAGTAATTAACAAATAAACTAAATGTTTTTTGAAGTCAATTATAAAAACATATACTTAATTACAAAAAGTTTCATCAATATAAATGACTTAATTCCATACTTTACTTTTAATATTCTAAAACAGGTTACTACTACTTTCACAGTTTACACCATTACAATGATAACACAAAACATGGCAGAATTTATAGAATGTAATTGAACAAATGGATAATATGTGTATATCAATTCAGATACAGATTTACTTATTAACGACAAATGAACTGTTCAAGGGACTCCAGTGAATTATTTGAAAAAAAAAGTGTAATGAACTGAGTCATTTGTATTTTATCAAATGACAATTAATGTCAAGAAAAAGTAGAATCGAAATAATTTAATTCTTCAGGAAAAGTAAAACTGAGGGGAGTAGATTTTTAATAGATTTAGATCAACTGGATACTGAACCAATATATTATGGTGTAAAGTCTACTCATCTCAATTATAACTTAGTAGTATCAAAAGCACAAATGTTTATGATTTTATTACCTGGCAGTCCAGAAGGAGGTAGATATGATGAGGTATAGATTTCAAGTATTTACACTTCCTGACCACAACTAAGTAATAACTCTGGTTTCGTGCTAGTTGGCACTTGTCAGCAAGGCGTAAATACTATCTTGACAGAACAAATGCTCCCTATGTGATTCGATTTTGCGTCACTGATAAGATGGATGAGTCCAGACATATTATATGCCTGAGAGCATTTCAAAACCAATAATGTAGATGATGAACAAAGAGTAACTTCGAAAGAGAATAGATTGCAAACCTAATCAAGGTCTCAACCTACATCTACCAGTCTGAGTAAGGACGACAGATGAATATAAAACCATGATTTATGTACGATCTATTTGCTTCACCAATTACAGTATTCTGTGCAACACTTAGTGTTCTCACTCGCATAGCAGACTGGGAAAGAGTGAGGGAAACGTGTATCTGTATCGGGCGACTGCAGAAGATAACAGTCATCCAGTTCCACAGTTTGAGATATTATCACTGAGGTGTTAACGCTACGATTCATCTCCTGTAGGATTGAGATCTATAAATTGACTCATCACTGAGTAGTAAGCATTACTATGTATACTGTGATGTTATTTATTTTTTCTTTAAACATAACAATCCTCTTGGGAATTATCATTTTCGATCAATAAAATTAACTGACCTCGTAATTGTAATCGCAGATAGACAACCTGCACCGTCATAACGCATTCCATTGTGTTCTATGCCAGCGCATGAAAGCTACATGTATTAATGAAAGCAAAACAATTTTTACTGTTTGAAAATCCACATCATACTAAAAGCACTGATAGACGAAAGAATATTCTTTTTAATAAATTCTCTTCAGGTTTTACAACTTCATTTATCCAAATCAAGACAAAATACATCGTTTACCATTACGGTATGTGACTTTAGGGTTATTTGTAGAATAAAATAAAGTGTTTTCCACAAACCAAATGTTGAGACTGAAGCCAGAAATGAAATACTTAGGATACTAAACTTTGTTTGCACTTATCAATCCGACTGCTCTTGTGTAGCAAGTTACATTGGTCAGGGTTCTAGGAATTTGCATTTATGTGCTCTTGAAAGCCTTAGAGTGTAGCTAAACAAAAGCACAGTCATCACGACATTGAACAACTTAGTACTAAGCTTCCAGGTTTACAACGGTGGTCGAACATCAATCGGTTCATGATCTCAATCAAAAAACTTAATACTAAACCGTCTAGTGCGAACTGGTTATAGCACCAGTATAAGTCAATCTTTTTTAATAAATCGTCGGGTTAGTAATTTTCTGCTAAAGTCGGTCCGAATTAAAGACCTTCAAGCGCCAGAAACAGTAGCCATCCGGATTAAAAAAACTGGAGCTATGTGTACATGAAAATATATTCAACACCTTTTCTTACATTGGTCAATAAAATCAAAAGTAATTTTAACCCAAGAATAACCTAATTTGACTAAAGTAATTAGAGACGGATGGTGGCTAGCAGTGGGATCCAGAAGGAGCGTTTCGTCTTATTAGGGACTTTTCAGCTGGATGTACCTGCATTCCAAAGTTAATATTCACTACAGGACATGAATTATTATTATTATTGCTACTACCACTACTATTATGATTATTTCTTGGTTTAGCATCACTAATAATCTTTTTAAGACATGACACAGCACTCACTCCACTTTAGTATGTCTAATTTAATTCATATAACTTTACAGTCTCCCATCAGTATTATTTCTCTTCCAGATTAAGACCCATATTCATTCTGATCGTGAATCTCATAATTTCATTTAACGTATAGGCTGATTCTAGCTAACAGTGCATATTAGTCATTTCAACATTAGCAATCTTGTTTTATTTCACAATACTAAATTCACATGATACAATTTTAAACAGCGTATTTTGCCTTAAACCTGGCCATTTTACGGATTATTCATTTGGGAATAAAAGAGCAATTTTCGTGTAAAAAAGATTAACGACTTCCCTATCGTTTAGACGTTAAACGAAAATTATGAAGCTGATGGCTAATGAAAGCTCACAGATAAATGAGCTGACCAACGCACTCAACTACTTTACTTCAAATAATAAATTTAGGAGTTTAAGCAGAATGGTTGTGAAGCGACATTTTAAAATTTGATGAACAGACACTCATTCCAAAGATTCTTGTACTATCATTCGAAGCATTCAGGAGGTTACACATTGTACGATCCTTCGCGGTTTGTGTACTCTAATGAAAATGGCGATATTACGTTACAATCGAACAAACAGGAAGTTTGTGTATTCAAATTATATTACTCATGAGTAATCATTAAGCATTATTGCACAATTGCCTTGAACATCGTAAAGCAACTGATTGTATAAAAAATTAATTTCATATTGCTTGATGTTATAGTTATTTACGTGGTTCTATTCAAATAATTATTCCTCTTCCTATCTATACCAAATATTGCCTGATGTTGCCAACTTTATCAACCTGGTTGAAATCAATTATTAATTGTATGTATTGACTTCGGATGTATTATTTATGTGAATCTAATATACTGATTAATTTGGTCATTGTAACTCTCTTAAATTTGATGAAGACATTTTATCAGTAACGGGAACAGACAATGAGTGTAAAGGAGATATCTTCGGTTAATAACTGTTCCAAGATCGAAGCTGCTTAACAGATGAACAGCTCAGGCTTCTTCGATTGAAAATGTCCCATAGCACAAAATAGTTACAATCTCATTTAAAAAAAGAATGGAAATTATTGACATATAAACATTCTAAAAGAATTTTGCCTTTAATTGAAAAAGAAATTAAATGAATTTTTAAAAATTAGCTATCTTTTATCGATGAAAAAATGTCTTCTTAAAGGTTAAAACTATATAAGATATATGCCTTTGAAAAAACTTACTTCCACCATTAAATAATTAGTGAGTATATTCTCTTCCAAAGTACCAATTAAACGAGCTAATGTTGGTACAGTAGCTTGAGGTTCAAATAAACGCACTGATTTGCGAGTAACAACAGCAGCATCACTATAAACTGATTCACTGTCAATTGCATGTGACAGCTTTAGTTTATTTAATAATTCATTTAAACGTGTTGAGCGTTGACTAGCTATGGTAGATTGAGCTTTTTGAATACAAGCACATAATTGCTCCAGCTAAATAGGAACGAAAAGAGGAAAAGAAGAGAATACTGACAATAATTTTTATTTCCAAAGATGACATTAGGACAACGGTGGAAGCCATTAGCTTAGTGGTTAATATACTTGACAGCACTGAACGAATGAATTGTTAGACTAAACGTTGTGCAATGGTAACTCAACGGTTAAGGTGTTCAACTTCCAGTTAATGAGTTCAAGGTTCGAACTATGCGCTCTACCTATTTTGATTTAGGCGACCAGTTAGTATATCACTAGCCATGATAGTTATAATATGGTTCGTAGATAATTAGACGGATTTATACATGGTAAATGGGTTGGAATATGAAATAGACTTCCAAACATCAGACCATCTACATCGGTTTCAGTAGTCAGGTAGAATCACTATCTGTTCCCACATGAGATACATACTTCATAATTAGTTAAATAAATGAACCTGTATTCGGTTTAGGAAATCAAAATAATAGAAGGTATACATCAACTGTTTTAGGATTAAAATAAATGTATACTTAAAACAACAACTTATTTATTTGAACACATAAATATTGGTTCAAGGGGGCACCAAATATATATATATACTTTTGTGATAAAAGTCGAGCGATAGGTTGGTGGTTAAGGAATTTGACTTCCAGTCATTAGTTCACAAATCCGAGCCTAGATCCAGCTACTTCGATTAGAGCAACCGGATATTATCATTAGCCCTGCTAATTATAGTGTGGCTTATATTCAACTACCTGGTGAATGAGTTAATTTATTTCTACGAACGCCCCTTCATCTACTTCAATGTGAAGATGGAGTAGAATAATTAAACCCCATAAAAACAACACTTGGTTAGCATATTAGGTAATTTCCTACTTCTGGTAGTATGAATGGCTTCCAAATAAACTGTGTGATTCAAAGTCAATGTAAATAAACTTGCACGTAATAAACCACTTTGCAATGAACACAATTTACATGCCGTTATGTACGTACATATTTTGTAATCTTGGAATATATTAAAGATTATCAATAATAAAATCAAGATATCCGTGTTAGTAAACACTCAATTATACAATATTCAACATTTCATTCAACAAATAATAGAACATTGATAAATGAGTAAAAAAAAATGATGAGGAGATCGGGAATTTATTTTTAAAAGTGAACCTTACCTACTTATGACCAGTAACAGTTTTAAAGTGAAATTCAAAAATACTTTTCGACTAATTCAATTTGTCTTTATGTCGAAAGATTTAAGGAACTTGCTAACATATGATAACTAAATCGACAACTCGTCAATATAGTATTTTACTCGTCAGGACCATAAACTTGCTACTTGTAATTTACTGAATAAATATATGCTAGTGTGACTGAACTGAAATCACACCTTTGCCAAGACGATGTTATTAAAAGATTATTGTTATTCTCCACTGATTTAAATCACCTTACATTGTTTCTTCTTGACAAAGAGGGAATCTTTGAGCTCGCAGATACAGAATGTTGGAATCGACGATTTGCTAGGTGATAATTATCCTAACTTATATTTGAAAGGTTCAAATATTTTTTACGGTTATAATTAATGGAGATTTACGAACAGATCATATAAAAAACATATTTAATTAAGAGCTGAGCTTCAAATTCTAAATACAAAACTTTAAAAAATGTACAAACAAACCACTGGTCAGTGTTTATGACAAGGACAAGTGAGAATCAGTCGTCATTTTGATATTATTATTAAATATTGTTAAACATAATCTAAATTTCACTTATCTATATTTCAACTATGTAAGCGATAATCTACTTAGATACCTTCGTAGAAAACTAAGAACCTATCACGAAGCTAATTAATGCAATTTTATGTGGACTCAGAATAGTGGTTCATATATTTTCTTCCTCGCCTTTCCAGACGCAAATATATTAAATTTATTCTGCCTTGATGATTTTATCTCGTCGTACTAATGTAATTTAGCAAATTGAACCAATGCACATATGCGTCAGACTCTAGGTTGTATATGACTGACATACCATTACAGATACTATAACTGTTATCTTGGTGTACAATAAAAATAACACTCAAAGTATGTGACTTTCACGAAATTATACATCCCAAAACACAAAAACTGACCGTTGTTGATGGATTATTAGACCAAACGGTATCAGCTATGAGCGGCGTGAAGTGAGTCACCTGAAGAAATAATCCAGTTTCATTTAAATGTCCAGAGGCGGGATTTACTTCCGAGTTGAAAACAAGTACACCTTGTAAATTTGTAGTGATATTCATATGTTCTGGAAGGGCATTACAAACAATTAAGTAATATTTGTAGTCCACATTCAATGGCCCAGAAATAACTTCGCATGCTATATAGTACTCGTTATTTGGAAATAACTGAGCAAATAATATAGGCCAACGATATGACTGCTGTAAACGGACTAGCATTTGAGACCATAAACTTGATAAGTTGACTTGTGCAGGAGACAATATTAGAGGAAGATGACGTTTAAACGGTTGCCAAAATGGTCGGTGTATCTTTGCTGTCTGCATTAACCTGGCCAAACCTAAACACAATCGTAGATGTTCCAAGCACTCACAAATCACAGAACGCCATCGAGCATCTCCGTGGGAAAGATTACGTAAACTCCGAGATTGAATTGAACAAATACGATCACTTTCATGAGGTTGGACAAGAGCTCCTGTAGCAGACACAAGACGAACACGATGACAAGATGATTGATTAAAAGCAGAATCGAGTGATGCAAGTGTATTAATAACACTGGAACGAGAAAAATTTTCAGAAGCTCCTTCAGGAGGACTAAAATTAACACTAGCAACAACTGATCCAATAGCACCAAACTCAGTATCGAGTGAAGTAAGTAATGGAAATGAAGTGCATACAAAACCTTGTACAGGATCTATGCGTACTTGTAATAACTCATGTGGACTACAAGGCCATAAAAGTGGAACATACAAGCATAATGGAGCATCGGCAAGACGTACAGGTCCAGGACTGATAATCAGTAGCTCTTGTCTCAAATCCTATAAAATAAAAAGGAACATGAACAGATAAGTTGAAGGCTATATCTTTATGTTACCAAGACAGAGTTATTATTGTTAAACGAAAAAAAATTACTTATTATTCGAAAGATTAGCGGATTAATATTGCTCTAAAAACTCATCATATATACCATCCTCTTGATGAACTATAGCAGTACCGTACATTATGCATAACGTTTCCAATGATAAACAAACAACTTAGAAACAATTAGTGAATGATTAAAGCCTGTTAAAGTTTTTTTCCAAAACCTCATAACAAACCATATTTTCTAATCATACATATCATGCTATATATATAATCAGAGGGGTTTTGTAGAGTTTGTAGTAATTTAATAATTGAATTCATGAGTCGATTTTACATATATATATATATATATATATATATATATATATATATATATATATATATATATATATATATATATGCAGTTTGATTATTTCCGCAATCTGTCCTACCCACTTCCAGCATCTTTTCCTAATTTCCTCTTTAGATGGGAGTTAGTTTATTCTCTTCCAGAGTATATTGTTGCTGATGGTATCCGACAAACGGATATTGAGTATCTTGAGTAGCCAATTGTTTACAAATACTTGTACCTTCTTGGCGATGGTTGTAGTAGTGCTCCAAGCTTCAGTTCCGTACAGTAAAGCCGTCTTGACGTTCGTATTGAAGATTCTGACTTAGATAGTGGTTGACAGTTGATTTGGGTTTCATATGTTCTTCAACCGTAGGAATGCGGATATATATATATATATATATATATATATATGTACAGTTATTAGTACAAATTTATAAATTTTATTTACACGATAGAATCTATCACATTTGTGTAACTCAACGATAAACAATAAGATATGACAGGAAAGAGAAAATGAATTTTCTACATTCATTATATAAAGATTGATACTATTTCACTTTTATTAATGATAATCAAATTTCTCATCAGGTTCTACAATTATAAATCCAGATTAATAATCCATAAAATTGGCCAGATTTAAGGCAAAATACATCATCATTTGGAAATTGTAATATGTAAATCAGGAATTGTTTGTTATATAAAATAAAATCGTTAATGTTGGGGCTGACTAATACGAAGTGTTAACTTGAATCAGTTTATAAGTGAAATGAAATTGTGAGATAAATTATCAGAATAAATATGGTCAACATGGGGTAAGAGAGAGAGAGAGAATATTGTGATTACAAATCGGAAATTGCGTAATATGTAAAATAATTAGGTCAAATATAGTACTTACTTAGAAAAATCAATAGAATATCAAATTATTTACCTGTAGCATTTGCTCAGCTCGAGCCACCATAGTTCTTGTTAGCAAAGTTTCGATAGATAAACAATCTCCCTTTTAGTACAAATACAAAAAAATCATGAAAAATGTTATCGAGAAAATGACTCAACTAATTCTTTTTTAACAATATGTAGTTAGAAAGGATTTTACTTGCCTTCATAGCTTCAACGGTTCAGGAAGTAAAACACCGGTTCAAGACCCTCCTCTTATGGCTAACTATTATACATAGACAGCAACCACTCAACCGCGTACTAATTAATATCTACAGACTTATGTTTAATTATGAACTAAGAGATATTGACTGTATCATAATTTATTGCCTTCCATGTAGCTATTAGGTTATTTTAACGGATGAACTATCATAACACTATTTACTCATTAAAGAGTAATATCCACCTGATATTATTAGTTCATAAAGAAAGACACAAAATCTTTGTTAACTGTATATCATAAATATTAAGTGAAATTCGAAGTTATTTTGATGCCATTTTAGAGACCATGTGTGCATAACTCTTTGAGAATCCCGAAAATTGTTTAAAAAGGCATTACACACTACTTTTGTAGAGCAACACTTTTTATATAAGGTTAAACGATACCAATATGGTGTCCTAACCGGAGATAGGTTTAATATAGCTTAAACCCGAAGCCCAGTAACGAAAAAAGGTGTGTTTCAAACAGTAAGTTACTGCTTCACATTTAATGAGAGCCAATAAAAATTCACAGGTTTTACGCATAATATGCCATCAACCAAAGTATACATTTTACTCTGTTAAAACACGAGTGACTAGGACATGTTAGATCTTTGTTTCTTATCAGAAAAAGCCTGTATAAAACTGCCGAAAATGACACGTGAACTGCCGCAGTATAAAAAGATGGATATACCATGGCTGAGCCTTGTAAGTGTGACAAACAACAAACAGTAATGAATAAAAACTAAAGCAAATGGATAATTATCACCGTTAGATCGCTTTCAAACATTATAAAATGGACTGGGAAAGACAAAAAACAAGATAAAGACGACGGAACGATTAGTTTGCTCACTTTAAAACAAGATAAATGAAAAAGGTGGACTACGTATATAGGATGAAAACGCTTTTTCTACGATTACTTTATAAAGATGTTTTGAGTATCATTTAGATGTATGAAAACCTTCCCGAATGGATAGCTTGTACATTATTTATTATACATTTAACATTTTATTCTACAAATTAGATAATTTATCCTAATCGATTTATATATATATATATATATATATATATATATATATATATATATATATATATATATATATATATTGGTTCCTGCAGAATCCGTTATTTAGAAAGAACAATGATTCGTTTAATCCTATAATTTCAAGAGCACTATTCCGTGTCAAAAGATAATGACTTTTCTATTCGTTTCTTCGATAGTTCAGAATATTTATCGGAAAGCTACTGCCGTCACTGTGGCATGTAATTAACCAGAAAACTTATTTATATCTGTTCCTTAAACATTGTGGAGCCGATTGCAACACATCATATGAAACTAAAATTTAAATTTGCTTCAGTTACCGATTTCTACTGCTGTTCCATACAGTATATATTCAGCCCGTCAAGTTTCAGATTAATTTAATTAATTACTAACTGTAATATTCTTTTATGGTCATAGCATAATATATTCATGAATCGATACTCACTTGTACAGTAGCTCCAACTAATTGAGATTTCGAAGTAGTAAGCTCAGGACGATGACTAACACAGAGTGGTCTCTGAGGTTCCGTTGGATCAACATGAATGGTAAGTAAATAAGCTGAAAAGATTAAGGGGTGGGGTTATAAACAATATTCTGCTAATTTATGTTACATTCAGAAGTAATAAAGTAGAGGACAAAATATTACTCGACAAGGGATAGTTGATTAAGAACGGCATCAAAATAGTGCCAGGAATCAGAATTTTGTTTATCTGGACACATAAACATTGGTACAAGGGGGCACCGAATACATATGCACCACATAATAATAATGGTTGTGAGGAGATAGAGAATGGAGGGAGGGTATAATAAAAACAAGAGCAACAACGAACAGAAATTAGTGTGTGACAATGAAATAAATCAGTGAATTTAAGTCGTTTAGAGAGGACATGGTTTTCTCCACAGGTGAGCTGCTGTATAAGTCGAAAAATAAAAGGATACACAAAATGAGAATAGAAAGTATTAGACAAGTGACGTAATATAGTAAATAAATACGAATGCTACCAAATGATTGTGTAAGTGATTTATCAGAATGTGAATGAATTGAAGCAAGAATAGTTTTTCCATTCGTAATCATCACTCGATTTGTGTGAGGGTTGGGATACTGTCTGGGCACTTAAATCGAGGTAGGTGGTTTACTTAGACGGCCACGACACAAACCTATGATTTAGAGGCTTAATCCCCAAGGCAGTGGAGCAACGGTAGGAGATGCAGTCCCATGGAAGACAGTGACTGACAATAGGTCTGTTCCCTGATCCTGGAGCCCCTGTGCACCATTGATGTGGAATCAGGGTTTCCCAACTCCCCTAGATGGATCTTCCGTACCCACTAACCCGGTTAAAGAGCCGGAAATTCACTTTTCGTTCTCTCAATTTTGTAAAGAATGCCCCAGCCACGAGAAGGCAGTGAGTAGGACTTCCCTGGCAGTGGCTACCAGTAGCCAGTGCACGTCTACAATTTTTAATTGTTGCGTTTTACAGCCAGAAATAACCACAGATTCTCACTTCTCCTTACGCTTTATTATTTGTTATTGCGAAAATCCATCTCTTTCACTTACGTCTATGTTACCCTGTATAACGTATAATCTTCATTCTAATCTTTACATTAATTATATACACAGTAACTTGACTGATACTAATCATTAGATATTTTCTAAGTTACATAATTAACAATTTTCAATAATATGTAGTCAGTTTTCTAATTAAAACGCGGTCAATATCTTGACGGAAATATCATTTTAAGGCTTAGAATTTAATACATATCTGATGGTACAACTTTGAAAATGAGCTCGTTGGAAAAGATTTCAGTCACCCAGTTATAGCATAAAGCCTAGTACACCGGTTCAAGTTGCCACACCCATCCCACTATCAAAGACAAATGAAATTCTCCCAGCCTACTCCTACACCAGACAACATCGCTCGTCGGGGTAGGCGGTGTTTAGGTATACGTAAAGCACCTCCCAACCACCTAGGGTGATGGTGATTTACTACCTCCTCAAGAGAAATGACAAAACAAACCACCATCAAAATCATTGTTTTATAAGTTTACTAGTGTTTATTCCATAGATAAAAACATTATCTTTATGCACAAAACATAAACACATATTCATACATACCTGTAGCATGCAACTTTCCATCTAGACCCATAACTGAATTATACTGAGTTCTAGCTAAACCATGCCAATAAGAGATCGACAAACATCTGCTAGGTCTATATGCTTCGATTGTAAGTTGATCTGGTGGTCGCTTTGAACGTGCCCGTTGAGCTTGTTCGTGCAACATATCCAATTGAAGTGATAAACTAAAGGCATCTACACATTATACACGTCATGTTAAGAAATGATTGCGGTTAAAAACCTAGCAGGTGATAACACTAAAATAATGAGTACGTTTTCACTTATTTAAAATTTGTAAACCAATTAGATATATCAACAACTATTATTAGAAGTATTGTTGCATATTGTTTAGTGAGAGTATAGGGAAGATGAATGAATAAACATAACGTTACAAAAAAGGAATCCAAAATCTCAGTACACTTTATTGACAAACATTTGGTTATTATTACAATATTAGTTACTTAATAGACCCTGCATTGATGAACAGTATTTAATTGGTGATACTGGTCACAACATATGAGCAGTTATACCTGTTTTATTAAATGAGCATATGAAACCATATAATATACATAACTATACATCACCTAAAACAAGAAATCCAAACTGACTAGTGTTATATAAGAGGTAGCTTGTGGTGTAGGTGTTATATCAATCCAAGAAAATCAGAGGTAAAATTATACATCATAGAAAGTAATGTAGTTAGTTGAATGGATCGAATACATAAAAGCCAAATGAACTAATATCAATGGTGGAGCGGAAAGAATGTTAACAATAAGTTTACTATTTTCAAGTTAAACTGTCTAAATCAACTCATTTTAATCTTGAGTTTAACTGCTAACCTTAACCTACGGTAAAAAAGTGACATGTCAAATTTCTACATATACAACTCCAGAAGTTTTATTAATGCAGGTTTACAATTAGTTTTAGAAATTTAAGATGGGGTTGATCTACGACTTATTCTTTACACGACCTTTCTCATTGATGACAATAATAATAATATAATTTTAAATGCGTTTATAGTAAGAAATAATTTATTGTAACAGGATAGTAAAAAGTAAACATGAAAGTCTCTGGTAGACCAATCTTACTATGGACTATAACAAGTCAAACTCATCGAAGTCATCCACACAGTTCTTATGAATGAGCCTGTTAATCGAATCTTATTTGTAAAATAATGGTCTCACTATATTATTACTTAGTATAATCCTCTTCAGCGCAACTTCATGCATAAAATTTCTAAATCGTCATACCATGAGAACATCTAAAACCCAAGCTACTAATAACAGTCATTAAAATAGAAACAACCGGTGAATATTCAGATACGACAAAATACTATAACAATAACTATTCTTAGCAGTGGATGATTATGGAAAAAGATCTGTGACTAAAACTGAGAGGAAATCATACTACAGTACATTAATATAGACGATCGATTCGATATTCACTCACAAAAGGATACGCAACATGTCGTAAAGGTGGACAAGAGGTGGACGACTATCAAACTGTCGATAGAGCAGACGAGACTGGGCTTGGTTAATTATGAGTCTTGTTTGCGCCGGGTGAACAAGATTTTGATAGTCTGGAAATAATATGCAAAAATAAGAAACAAACATTTATCAGTGAAACTTTGCAACAATTGCTTCCAATGATGAATTACCAAGCAGTAATCTTTTGTAAGTTTGGACTATTTTTCTCACCCTGAATTTGATCATTCTAATATTACA